GCCTCCGCGGAGGCGAAGGCGTCCAGTCTATAATGTCTGATGAGCGGAGAGGGCGAAGTCCATGCTGCTGCCCTGCAAATGTCTTCGATGGGGGCCTGGGTGGCTCAGGCTGCTGAAGTGGCTGCACTCCTGGTGGAGTGCGCGGTGATGCCCTCGGACACTTGAAGTCCCTGTGCCTCGTAGGCCTTGGAGATGGCTAGCCTGATCCATCTACTGATGGTGGCTGGGGAGACTTTCGCTCCCTTGGTTGCCGGGTGGTAGGAGACAAAAAGGGCCTCCGACCGCCTGATGGGCGACGTGCGCTTCAAATAGATGCGCAGCGCCCTCCTGACATCCAGGTAATGCCAGGACCTCTCTTTTAATCTCCTGAACCCTATGAAAGGGAGAATTGATCTTTGGCATGAAGGCAGGGTTGAGTCTTAGGACCACCCTGTTTCTGTGGAAGATGCAGAGATCCGCCCTGGCTGACAGTGCATTAATCTCTGAGACCCTCCTGGCTGAGGTAATCGCCATGAGAAACATTACCTTGAGTGTGAGCAGCTGAAGACTCACCTCCCTTAGAGGTTCGAAGGGTGCTTCCAGAAGTGCCTGGAGCACTGTGGGTAGGTCCCACGAGGGAAAACGGTGAATCACCGGGGGTCTGAGGTTGGTTGCTCTCCTGAGGAACCGTTTGATGATGGGAAGTTGGGACAAGGACTATGTGCCCCTCCCCCCAGGACAGTGACCAAGGCGGAGACCTGCCTTCTGAGGGTGCTAGGGGCCAGGCCCTTCTCCAGGCCATCCTGGAGGAAGTCCAGGACCTGCGGAACCGTGGCCGCTGTCGGTTCTACCTGAGCCAAGTGGCACCAGGCCGGGAAGGAGACCCAGGTTGCGTCATAGATGCGAGTGGTGGATCTCCTCCTGGCTACCTCTATGGTCCCTATGACCTTGGTGGAAATCTGGGTCTCTCTTAATTGTGTCCGCTCAATCTCCAGATGGTCAATTGGAGCCAGTGGGTGAAGCAGACTTCCCTGGGTAAGGGTTACCTCCTCCTGAGGGATCCTCCAATGGGGAGTGATAGACAGCTCTATCAGATCTGCGAACCAGGGGTGTCGGGGCCAGTATGGTGCCACCAGAATGACCTCTGCCCTCTCTAGTACTAGTTTTCTGAGCACCCCGGGTAGGAGAGGGAGAGGGGAAAGGCGTAGAGAAGACCTGATGACCACTGGCTGATTGCGGAGCGCATGAGAGGAGGTTCGTCCGACGGAAAAAAATTCTTGAGGTAAAAACTCCAAAGGGAAAAAGGCAAAAAGGGAAAAAAATTCGTGCCAAGGAGAGCCAGGTATTTAGCTCCTTCTGGGCCGAAGACAAAGGTTAATCTGGACAGTCAGAGGAGGGGTAGATGTGTGGCCTCAAGATTTACCTTAGTCTCTGGGCAGATGGGCCGTGACAATACCCAGCTGTGACTCCTCCCACGCCCCACTTTGGAGATTGTACTTAGTAGGAAGGTATAGATAGATAAAAGTTTTTTTTTGCAAACACTACATAATTAGTTTATGAAATTAAGCATAAACCACAGCTTGTTACTGTTGCAATTTTCAAGCAACTTTATCAAACATAATTAACCAAAAAACAGTTTCTGATCATAACAGCTCAGGTTTTTAGGTTTTTAGGTTTTTCCACTTCCAGTGGAAATAAACTTTTAGCAGCCCGCCTACGAAGTGTAAATCTAACTGAGCTGGAAAAAAATAATTTCATTTATACCTTAATGTCGTCCTCTGTGATGTAACCGGCTTGTACTACCCACCAAGCTTCAATGGCAATTTCTACTGGTTTCATGGGTAGCAGGTCACGGGCAGTTTTCCTTCTAAAAAATTTCTGAAATGGTTTAAGAAGAAATTAGGTTCTCAAATACAGAACACTCAGATTTTTAAGCATACCACTCCTTCCCCCTGATAAGATTGTCCTTATCATACAGCTGGGGAATTCTCGGAGTTAAAGTCCGCAAGTATTATGGTTGCAAAGTTTGGAGACCTCCAATGTAGACTGAAAGTGAGCAACTGTAGTAGGTTCTGGTCCATATTTCAATTTCACCCACATAAATTCTAAGTTCTTTTTAACTGAAGCACATGCATCCATCTGAGGAAAAAGTACTTGTTTACCTTTTTGGGAAGCCAAAGACAATGATAATAAATACATAGGCATAGGGATTACCAATTGTAGATTTCCAGAGCCTACAAAGTAAGCTTTGCATCAGGGGTAGCAAACTCACCGATCCCTTTGTGATGTATTAAATTGGTCACCAACTCCCAGACATTTATTATATGAAAATAATTTATTAAGCACTGCTTTAATTATTAATGATAAGAATACCAACCCTTTGGGATAATCCCTTCAACCCTTGGAGCTGATCATTCCTTTCTTGGTCACATTAAACACCCTTGTTCTCCTTACTATACTGTATCATTCATGGGCTTGCCATGGCCATCATTAGAGAGCTCGTCTTAGCCAATGTTGAAATAATTTTATTAGCTGCCCATTCATTTTAGGATGTGCATAGGTAGTCCCCAACTTAGAACAGCTTGTTTAGTGACCGTTCAAAGCTATGACGTCACTGAAAAAAGTGACTTAAGAACTTTTTTCGCATTTACAACAGTTGTCGCATCTCCATGGTCAAGCAATCAAAATTCAGACACTTGGCAACCGACTTATATTTATGATGGTTGCAGTGTTCCAGGGTCACCTTTTTTGACATTCTGGCAAGCAGTCAATGGGGAATCCAGATTCACTTAACAACAGGGATACTAATTGAACAACCGCATTTAACAACTGTGGAAAGAGAGGTTGTAAAATGGGGGCAAAATTAGCCTAACAACTGTCTCACTTAGCAACAGAAATCTTGGGCTCAATTGTGGTCTTAAGTTGAGGACTTCCTGTAATTGAAAAATGCAGAGGTTTACCTTAAAAAGCCACAAGTGAAAGAAAGAAAGAAAGAAAGAAAGAAAGAAAGAAAGAAAGAAAGAAAGAAAGAAAGATTTCCATGTGCTGAGACTTATCAGAAGACTTTTTCCAGGGAAACTCAGCAAGCAACTGGCTTCAGAAATTTCTCACATCATTTTCCAAGCTGTCTCTGAAGGCTGAGATCTTTTTGATTTCCCAAGACTTTAAAACTTTTCAGCCAAATTGAATCCATTGCCCTATTGGAGCACTTTCATTTCTGGGAATATCATTCAGTCACACATTTATAATATTGTCTGATCGGTGCTACAGTGCTCTTTTTTTATTTTCAGTGCTTTCTGTTGGAGGGCAGGGTATATTTTTTTAAATTTAAAAAAGTGTATTGATTCTGTGGCAGGATATTTATTGCCATATTTACTTTCCCTCCAGAAATTGAAGGAAAGTCATAGACTAAAAAAAAAATGGCCCTTGTAACTTGGCAAAGACTACAGATGACCAGATGCAAACAGTGGCAAGCCAGTAACTCATAAACTGCCAACTGTAACCTGCCAAAACAAACTGTCCTTGTGGGCAGCCTCATAACTCACCAAGCCAAAGAACTGGAAATCTGAAAACACTCCTTTTAGGTTATTTTTTTTCCAAAAACTGGCTAGGCACAATATGAGTGCTCGAACATACTGTGTTTCCCCGAAAATAAGACATTATTATCCGGGGAGGTCTTATTTTCAGGGAAACTGGGTATTTGTTTTTATATCAACCTCTAAACAAGAGGCCAATAGTAGATCAAATGGAGAAAGCAGAATACATACTTTTGATGACCTACATTGGTTCATCAGATCAATATACTGGTTTCTTCCTATGCCAAGAAGTCTTAAACCTGGGGAGGGAAGATAAATCTCTTAAAAACAGAATTCTAGTTTGAGAGAAAGTATGCCTTCCCTTTTTGCTCTATAACCCAAAAAGGCACCCTTAAATGGGCAAAAACAGTAGATTTATCTGAACAACGTCATTTGTCATTAAAATAACATTCAGTTGAAGATAGTCATTATATTCTGGTTGGTTGAAAAAAAACATTTTGTCTGGAATTATGCATTTTTCTAAATCTAATAATCTAAACATCATCCTTGATGCAAAAGTTATGTAAAAACTTTTATTTGAAAGACATCTACGTTTGAAAGCAGTCATTTTTAAGTTGGAACAAAGAAGGCCTCCTTAATTCTCCTAACAACTTGAAGATTTCAAACAGGATATATATCCTTGTAGCAGCTTTTTATCAAAGACAAGCATTGTTTTAATAAGTTTGTCCTGGAATTCTGATCTTTTAATCCAAGATCTGTATTTATGCAATGGAAAAGAGAACGGGTATACCTGTAAAAGACATTACAAGTTATAGCAATCTAACTAAAACATTAGATAATCAGAAAACTAAACAAAGATAGAAACATTACTCAAAGCAGTTGCTTCAATGACTAACTGCAAAATGACTGATTGAATGGCCTAAATAATTCTAAATAGAAATTTTGGCTTACAGCTAAGACAATAAACAACCCTTTAACAGTCATATGATCACGCAGAAAATTTATTTTGTTAACTTTCTCAATGTTATTCTCTTATCACTGTCTCTTTTGTTCTGTTTTCAGATGAGAGAGATTAACTTTTAACTTCAAAAGCTTTCTTAAACAAGTATTGCAAATTCAAAAATAGGAACTATAAGGCAGCTGGACTTTCAAAACTAAGAAATTCTTTTTAAAAAAACTAGGCACTTATTTAACATACGTAAACAGAATGTACGTTTATACTTACAGTCTGCAGCAGTAAAATTAGGCAATGAATCATAACTTTTTTCACTGTTCATTATGTCCTTTGTGAAAAGAAAAAGAAAAGTGCAAGGTCAATTCAAACCAATCACTGTACTTTTAAAGTTCCATTGCTGCACACTGATGCTACATCAGTATGTAATGCAAATCCTAAATCTTGTATTCAAGAGAACTACTGATCATCATTGGAAGTTTTAAAGAAAAAACTGAACAGCCACTTGTCTGAAATGGTAAAGGGTGTCCTGCTTGAGCAAGGGGTTGGACTAGAAGATCTCCAAGGTCCCTTCCACCTCTATTCTGATTAAAGACTGATTACTGTCACTAAAAAAAATCCTGGGAATTAACTGCCAATTCAATTTCTTCCCCATTATACATGTTAATTCCTTCAAAGCAGCTTCTTTGATTGGAGAAATTGAATGGAAAGCCCCAAATGGAATACAAGTAATGCTCAATTTATGACCACTGGCGACCATTCCAAACTCATGACTTACCTAAAAAAGGTAAGGGGGTTGCAACTTGCCTATGAAGTTCCTACAGTTGGGTACCTTACTGCAGTCATGTGACTGCATTTCAGACACTCACCAACCTGGCCACATTTAGGGCAGTCTGCAATGTCCGCATGTCACATGACTTCATTTTACAACAGTTTTGCTGAAAACTGGAAATTACTTCTGATTTTTGACAAAACCAGATCATAGTGAATAACGGGCTTGCTTAACAGGTTGAAAAAAATTGCGTGATGTGACTGACCCATTTTACAACCGTCACGACATATGACTATAATGGATAGGCTCCATTATGGTCTTATGTCGAGCACCATCTGTACTAATGCAGCTCAAGGGATATAATGTTTCCCAATGTGTAACAGCCTAAGAAAAAGCAAACACTAGACACGTGTTTCCAGTAGGTAAATATTACAGGGCAATAGAAGGAAACAGTGCAGTTCTTTTTAAGTATTTATCTAAACTTACCTCCATTATTCCTGTGTAATATGAAAAAGGTGTTATCCTCAAACCCTTCACCATGATGTCAGACAAATGGTAGGGGTACAGGATAAGATGATCTCTGCTGTATTTTAACAGATCCTCATAGTATTTGCGTTCATCTTTCTTGATGTGCTTAACTGGGGAAGAAATGAAATGTTAGAACAACTGTCTTCTTAAATTAGTTAATAACAGAATCCCATTTTTAAATGGGGTACTAATGGGGTATAAATATGTCAATGCAAACTAGTTTACTTGCACACAAATCTGAACAATACCTTATGCATCTGTATAAGTAAGAAAGACAAGACAGAATTATTATTATACTGAAATCTGGGGCCCAGCGGGAGAAAAATTATATTCTTAATTTATTATTGAATTGTTTTTTATGCTTCATCTATATGGACTGCCCATCTCCCTCAAAGAGAGACTCTAATACCTTACCTCTGCCTATAGCAAGATTATTTTTGGCAATACTAAAAAGGCAGAGTATAATGACAAGGGGAATGCAATGATGGCTAACCTTTCCGGACCCGGTGCCGAAAGCGTACATACATGTTCGAGCGTGCCCAAACCCCCCCAAATGCAATGCGCCCGTGCCTGCCAAATGCCCCCCGCATGCACAACAGAGACTCGACAACCAGCTGGCCAGAGTGCGTGCATGCATGTCAAAGCTGAACTGGGGTGACGGCTTGCCAGTGGTGGGTTCCGGATCCCGTTCCAACCGGTATAGTTGGAACAGGCCCAGCTCGCCTACAGTGCGTGCATGCGTCATACCTGCCAGCGACGCCTCTGCAAGCCTCCGTGACACTCCAGCTGCTTGGTGGAGCGTCGCACAGGCGCTGTACGCCCCAAAGGCTTAAAGGACAGGTAAGGAGCTTGGGCGGGAGGGCTCTCTGGAGCACAGTACCAGAATGGTACCTGGTACTCCGAGCAGGCTCCGTTACGCCCGTACCGGGGCGTACTACCTGCAACCCACCACTGCGGCTTGCGTGCCTACAGAGAGGGTGCTGCGTGCCACCTGTGGCACGTGTGCCATAGGTTCGCCATCACTGATCTAAGATGTGTCCATTCTCATGGGTGCAAAAGAGAATGGTTTAAAGTTTCTAGATTTTTGACAGATATGACCTTTCTTTCTCCTATAAATAATCAATAGAGAAGTAACTGAAAAGCCTTAGTAAATAATTTTTTGCTGGTATTCAGATACTAGCATCTCATCCATTTTGCTCAGATTCGAGACTGCTTACAAACACAAGTGTTGGGTTCATTTCTATCTACATTTGTCAAATTCTAACAAAACACCTTGTCTTTAGTTGCTGTCTTTGTTTATAATGTTTTACAGAAAATCATAAGAATTGGTGTAATTTCTTGATTTTCCTTCATAAATTGGTCAATGTACTTCAGCAACAAAAAAAATCTATTAGGGATCTTTTTTTCCAGCATGACCAGTATTGATAGCATAGTTGCAAAATATTTTCCCTTTCCCAAATTTCTTTTTTTTTTAAACTCACCTAAGTTATTTCGGTACCGAAGTTGATTGCGGATACTGTACAGTATAACCTGCTTTTCATAGTCTCGTTGTGAGTTTCCAAGACTCTGTGAAGCAAATAAATTGCATTTATTAAGATAAGCTAATAAAAATTTGATGAACATTTGGATCTTCAGAGATTAACATCCACTCTTTCAACTTGAAAAAAATCACTCATCTTAATGGATTACTTTTCAAGAAGATGCATGATTGACTTGTAATAAAATGAATGTATTTTTACCTAAAGGAATTGTTATAAAATGTGATGATAAAAAGTAGTTGGACATTTTTCTGCAAATACAACCAATTTATAGAATAAATGTGCATGTAATTTGGGGGGAAAAAACATCTGCAGGAAAAATTACTGGAAATACTGTTGATTTTATTGAGGCTGGCTGTGATTCAATTACTTCCCATTAGTCTTATGAGGGTAAAAACTGTAAGGACTAGCTACAGAACTTGTTATGTGCACAGATACAATCTTGAGAATGGAATCAGCATGAATCTCAAAACTGTAGCAGTTCCTAACATTCAAATATCACATGATTTTTATAGATATTCAATTTCTATAGCTAGCCATCTCAACCAATGCCTTTATACAACATAAAGTATCAATGATATATCAAACGTATCATTGAAAATCATTTGAAACATATCCATGATTTTAAAGAAATCAGACCTATTTTTAAGAACGGTGTAAAAAAAAGGTCTTCACATGACCCTTTTAAATGCCACTACTAAATGTTTCCACTGTCTACCTATGGGTTCTTGAGAGCAGTCTGCATCTGAGATTGCAAAAGACAACATACCAATTATAATGCAATATTTAAACTTAAACCAATAATCAGATTTTTGTAAGAAGCCAAAAATGCAGAATGAAATTTATTATTCATTGTCCTGGAACCGAGGAATGAAAAAATGGAATATCCAATCTTGGAAAATCAATGGATCCAGCTTTTAAAAGACAAAATATGTATGATTTAAGAATGAAATTAACTCATTAGAAAGTATTCTTTCATAACTTTTGGAACTTTCAAAGAAAGTTTAGAAATTGTTGGGCATTTGGTCTTTTCTGTAAGAATTGTAACAAATTTGATATTCAACTTTATTTTTGTTTCAAATCATCGCATTTGTTTATATACTTTGGGAAAGAAATGCAATAGCTAAAGGTGTAAAGATGAACTTTGTCTGTATTCTGAAACATGGACTTTGCCACTTCATGAAGAACTTTGGCTATACCAGGTCTGGTGCTGACAAAGAATTAAGTAAACGGAAATAAATGTCTTGATAATAAGAAGTGTATTCAAGATATGAGTTGGGTTTTCTAGTTTTTAGTCTTTATGTTCTTAAAAATGAAAATTCAGATCTTTTTAGTACTAAGTTTAAAAATCAAAATTAATTTTATCTCAATACAACATGGATATACACATTTTTTGTAAGTTTCCATGTTTTGGTATATTATTTTAATTACTATAATGTTCTTTTCTCACTGTATAGTCATGTTTTGTTGGTGTTGCCTTTGTTTCTATTGCAATGTAATAGAGGTATTCTATTCACTACTGAAAACATTAAGACAATTAAGTTTAACACTAACAATTAATTAGGATGTCAATATGGCACTGATACGAATGATATAAAGTTACCGGCTTGCAAAACGAACACATGCAATTCTGGCATAAAAAGATTATAACAGCATTGATTTTTAACTGTTTCACGTCATGTGTGTTAGATTGTATACAAGAATGCTCATCTCTTTTAATCTGTGATGCTGGGAAAGGTGGTAGAAAAGAGAAGAGAATGACCAGTAATAAAGGGAATGGACCCAGTTACAGTGACAATGACCTGAATGACAGGTGACTGGAAGACCTGAAAGACCAGGTGAGGGACAGATCATGATGGAGGGACTCTTTCTATGTGGTCACTAGGAGTAAAAAATGATCTTATGGTATATAATCAGTAGCACTTCAATCTATCAAGCAGAATAGAGCTGGAAGCTCCCTGCTCAAACAGGAGACCATATACCATTTCAGACAGTCTTTTCTTAAAAAACCTCCAGTGATGGAGCACCTACAACTTCTGATTGGTTAACATTTAGTAATTTCAAGTTATGTCTGCTCAACTCCCTAAGCCATAATTGGCTTAACCATACTTTATTGAGCTAATCCAGTTCTTAAGTGATCTTAACTAATAAGGCTGTCCGCGCAAACTACTTAATCCAAGTGAGCTAATCACATTTTAATATAGAGCGGTTTTTGTGAACTCGTTTTAGACACGACTCTTAATATGCTCCTGTGGCAGAGCCAGAGGTAACCTGGAGCTGAGGAAACATCTGAGAGACTCTACAGAGATTCTCAGTCATCCAGGGCATGGTTGTCCCCAAGGTGCGTTTTCAGGAGGCAACTGGACTTTATTTTTATTGATTTTTTTTTGAAGAAAGAAGGAATTTATATTCCTTGCAGACAGCTGGTTATTTGCATCCTTTTCAAAGGTTGTTGAAGCACTTTATGTATGTCTTCAGGATCACCTGAGTAGTTTTTGTAGTTTAACGAGCCTCTAAAACAGTGGTTCCCAACGTTTTTTTGGCTATGCCCCACCTAAGCATCTCTAAAATCATGATCCCCTCCCAATATTTAATTCTTACTTTACTCAAAATACGAACTCTACATATGGAGGAAGCCTAAAAGGTCATTAACGTAGTTTAAGCAAGGTTCAAATTGCCATTAAAAATCAATTTGTCCCCCCCCCTCCCAGCGTGGGAACCACTGCTCTAAAAGGATGCAAATGACCAGCTGTCTGCAAAGGAATATAAATCCTTCCATTCCACACTATCCTATCAAGAGCTAAAGAAGCTTCTTGGAGAAGTGAACCGTCTTCAAAAGAAAAAAACAAGGAAGTGCAGTTGCCTCCTGGGGAAAAAAACACCTTTGGGACACTTGACTGTCCTCCTTTCCACCTCATTAATGGCTCATGGAAGATCATTAGCTAACTTGTGGACTCCAATTCCCAGAATTCTGGGAATTGAGAGTCCACAAGTCTTAAAGTTGCCAAGTTTGAAGACCTCTGCCCTAAGGCAATGTGTCTCAGTAAACCTGGCAACTTTAAGACATGTGGACTTCAACTCCCAGAATTCCCCAGCCAGCAAGGAGGACGCAGGCGGCCACTTGCGGAACTGCCCTGGAACAAGGCTCATTGACCAGGATTGCCTTAACCCTCCTCGGACTGCGGCTCACCCCGTTCCCAGCCAACGGGAACCTATTGCTCAGGAGAAAGGGGAACTGCAGCCCGGTGTGCTACATCGGGAAGGAAGGAAGGAAAGAGGACAAGAAGAGGAATTTCCAGCATGGACAAACGGGGGGGAAACGACTTCTGCCTCAGCCTGAGTGGGCTACGAGCAGCCCGAGGGGTCAATTTCGCGGCAAGTCGGAGGGGCGTTGCTTGCGTATGGGTGCCGGAAGGGGTCAGTCAGTCGGTACCTGCTTAACGCTGGCGGGGAGACGGGCCCAGGGGTAGTTGTGGCGAATGTGGAACTCCACGTCCACATTCATGGCAGGTTCCCCGGGATGGGGGGGTGGAGCAAGCAAGGGAGGACGGACGGAGGGTTGGCGGGCCCCAGGTCTTCTTCGCGGCCGCCTCAGCCCCGCTTCTGAGGCGACTCCACGCAACTGCTCAAACTTGCCTTCCGCTCCCCCTTCGCCGCTTCCGCGTTGTGGAAGCCGGCGGGCCCCGCCCCTCCGTCTACGTCAGTTCCGGCTCTGAGGAGCGCTGGAAGGCGCGAGCGCGCGTGATGGTGGGGGAGAGAGGAGAAACGCTCGCGGCGGCTCGATGGGGTTCTCCTATCTAATGAATAGAAATAGGAATAGAATAGAATAGAATAGAATAGGAATAATAGGAATTGGAAGAATAGGAATAGAAATAGAATAGAATAGGATAAGTAGAAAGAATAGGAATAATAGGAATAGAAATAGAATAGAAATAATAGGAATAGAATAGAAATAGGAACAGAATAGGAATAAGGAATAGGAATAATAGAAATGGAATAGAATAGGAATAATAGAAGTAGAATAGAATAGAAATAATAGAAATAGAATAGAATAGGAATAATAGGAATAGAAATAGAATAGAAATAATAGGAATAGAATAGAAATAGGAACAGAATAGGAATAAGGAATAGGAATAATAGAAATGGAATAGAATAGGAATAATAGAAGTAGAATAGAATAGAAATAATAGAAATAGAATAGAATAGGAATAATAGGAATAGAAATAGAATAGGAATAATAGAAATAGAATAGAAATAATAGGAATAGAATAGAATAGGAATAATAGGAATAGAAATAGAATAGGAATAATAGAAATAGAATAGAAATAATAGGAATAGAATAGAATAGGAATAATAGGAATAGAAATA